CACCGATACCCACACCAGTATCAGAAAGGGCCCCGATACTGCACTAAAATGGTGGTATCGTATTGGCGAGTACCGACGAATAAAGCACAGATACCATTTTGAGAGCCAAAAGTTTATTCAAGTACTGTCACCCATTCCAGGTAGGCTATAAAAGGTTCTACTGAATTCACTTTGTATTAGTCTTTTTCCTGTTTCACAAAGGTAGTCAGCAGGTTGACAAAGCCATGATGGCAATTATTTAACATCCAAGTGGTATGCAGTTCTTCATATATACACACACACATCAATTTCAAACAGATGGTATCGGACGATACTGCATAGCCAGGTATCGGGGCCAAAAAATGGCATCGTGCAACTCTAACTATGATATCAATTTGGACATTTTAAGTCACATAAAGGTGTGATTTACTGAGTCTTTTCAAAGTTTTCCATATTTGAACCTGCGTTTTTTTTTCACATAATCTGACGTAAATTTTCTTTCATCTGTTTTTGAACCATAGCGATTTAATTGAGGGTCAAAAACTAGTCCTGTTAAGTACTTTTGCAAGATACTGTATGTTATTAAAATTTGCTCTTCATGCATAGAAACGTGGAGCTGCTCCCATACTCACCCTAACTTCCATATTTGGTATGCAAAGTAAGCCAATTAAAGACTGGATCCCAGAATTTCCAGCCTTGCACAGGTTGATAATCCCTGAATTTAAAAGGAAAGAAAGAGTTTTAGATGTTGATGCTTGCAGCAAACCGGACCTTTTCCTTTTTCCTTTCTATGAATTACTTTATGATCTCTTACCAGACCAGGAACGAAATGCAGCAACTATGGCCATCCTGCTAGACAAGAACCTGGATTCTCTGTCTTCCCTGTAAAAACAGAAAAACACACTCAAAACTGGACATGTTACAAAAAGCATCATAATTATCAAAGTAAGGCATAAAAATATATATAAAATCCTGGTGAGTTTTTTTGTATGCGTGCTACAAAGCTTTGCTGAAAAGTAGCCGTTTAAATCTGTTCTTTTTTCTTCTTCTCTGCTCTACCAATCACTTTCTCAAACATTTTTGTCAGTTTAGCTCACTGTCATTTCTTATTTTAATTTGGGAAGGGCCAACCTGCCTATTAGTGCATAAGACTTAGCATTAGTCAGTGTCGGAGTATAAAGCATGTTTGGTGGACAGGTGATCACGGTGGAGGGTTCGGGTCCAGATAATGGCAGGGAAAACAATTCACTTAGATACGCCCACTGAAAACAAGCTCGTCTGTAACTGACAAAACAAGCCGTCACATAGGACCAACTCGAGATTTTCAAGCCGACAGGCTTCTCATGTTTAAGTACAAATAAGCAGGTAACTGCGTTTAAATAAACAACTGTCGCATTTCCTAATAAGCCAAATTTTGTCAAACTGACAGACCCTTTGACTGTGCTCATACCTGGCTTTGAAAAAAGTTTCGTTCATGATAGGAAAAGTTGTGTTGCTAACGTTGGCTGTGCTCAGGTAAAAAAAAAAAATAGGGCTGGGATCAGTTCTTTTTTACTAAATGTGAGCAATGCAATATAAAACTAAGTTTTTTTTTAATAAAGAGAAAGGGGAAGAAAACTAAATATTCAAAAAAATAAAAGCTTCAGAGCTGCATAAGGTGTCAATAAAGGTTTATCAAAACAGTCGTTTCAGAATTACATTTGCCGATTTCTTATAATGATTTGTGAACATAGTCTTCAGGCTCAGGGTGTTTCTGATTTTCAAAACATAAAATTCGATCACAAAAAAAAGGGGATGAAGTGAGAGGGACACTGGGAAAGAGGCAAGAACCTTTGGACTTTTGCTGCCTTCATGTGTTCTGGTAAGAATCATCTTTTCCACATGTAAAGTGGAAATTACCATCGCATTGTGCTCAAGTGCTTATGTCATTGTAGAGTAGGCAAACATCGCAGATCGACAGATTATCCTGACCTTCTACTTAGACAAGACAGTTATAGACTACCTAATTCGTCTGCAACAATAAGAAGAAGAGGATTCATGAAATGCACATGCTATTGAGAAGTTGGTAAAATCACATAACGGTAATTTTAAAAATGACAAGTTTAAACAGCGATATCTTTTTTTTTAAATGTATGTCACAGCAATGTGTAGGCTACAAACACAATGGGAGAGGGAGTTTCACAATGCAACATATTTACCAATTAATTGTGTTTGCAATAAAAAAAAAATCATTTCTGGCAAAATTGTTCAGTCCTAATTCACCACACAGAATCATTTCTCTCCTCTCTGCGACGTTGAAAAGTCAAAGTTTATCTCACTTTGGCAACTCTGATATCATAAAACTTTTTCAAGTTTTCCAGTAGAAAATGCATCATGAGTGGGTGTTCATTACTGTAACTTTGATGTTCGCTTTTGGCATTTCCAATAATTATGATACCACCTCAAGGCAGTATAAAATATGAGGAGGTTCATTAAATCTGTAAGCTTGGACCTCCAAATAAAGATAAATGTTTTTATTCTACTATTTTTAAAGTGTTATATGTGAGGAGTTTCATAAGACATGGCAAAATTATTTTCAGAAGTTTGCATAGGCATCGTTTGGGTGATTCCTGGCAATCTTTCTGAGACCAAACTGGTAGAGTAGGTTGTCACCAGTGGGGGAAAAACATCCTCATTTTGATTCTGTTGTAACCCTCCAAACATCCACTTACTTGAGTTGTCCTTCAGCTGTGTCAGCGTTGTGCCGATAGTGGAAATCAGTGAAAGGTGCAAGGATTTGCTGCAGGATAGAGTAAAAAGTATATAAAATAAAATGATGTATTACAGCTGTAATAAAACTGATTAATATCTTCCATGACTTCAGCTTTGGTAAATGGTGTGTCTCTCTGTTTTAAGCGGAGATCTACAGACAATGGGGGTTTAAGAGGAAAGGCTCCGACTAATTACTGTAAACTCAAAAGAAATGGGGGCGATCTAAAGCTGTTCATCTCCAGTGGAAACACTTCCAGACCTCGGTTTCATTTTTATACAACAGCTTCCTCTGGGTTCACATCCATGTAAACACAAGTACCTCGAGCTCAACGTCAACGCGCACATACTGGCGGGTGCACGGGTGGTTCAGTAAATGGAGGACCGTGGTGATCAGGGCTTCGTTGATCCGACTCAGCTGACAGTCGATGACGCTCTTGAGGATTGTGCTGAGACCTCCGCGTTTGGCCACCACCTCTGGGTTCTTCAGAGCTGCAGGAGCAGAAAAAGAAACAAAAGGACCACGTTATACAAACAACAGACACTAGAGACAAAATTGTACATCTCCAAAAGGCTGGAAAGGGCTACAGGGAAATTGCAGCTTGGTAAAAAAAAAAAAAAAAAGCAAACATTAGAAAAAATGGAAGAAGCTAAACATGACTGTCAATCTCCCTTAGACTGGGGCTCCATGCAAGATCTCACCTCGTGGAGTCTCAGTGATCCTAAAAAAGGTGAGAAATCAGCCCAGAAATACACGGGAGGAGCTGGTCAATGACCCAAAAAAATCCAAAGTTACTGTTGGTATTACTCTTAAGATGTCATGGTTTGAGATCATGCATGGCGGGAAAGGTTCCCCTGCTTTAACCAGCACATGTCACGGCCCGTCCTAAATTTGCCAATGAACATTTGGATCCAGAGGAGTCATGGGAGAAAGTCATGTGGTCAGATGAGACCAAAATAGAAGTTTTTGGTCATAATTCCTCCTACCCTGTTTGGAGGAAGAAGAATGATGAGTACCATCCCTACTGTGAAGTATGAAGGTGGTAGCGTCACGCTTTGGGGGCATTTTTCTGCATATGGGACAGGGCGACTGCACTATATCAAGGAGAGGATGGCCGGGGCCATGTATTGTCAGATTTTTGGGAACAACCTCCTCCTCTCAGTTAGAGCATTGAAGATGGGTTGAGGCTGGGTCTTCCAAGAAGCACACAGCCAAGATAACCAAGGAGTGGCTCTGGAAAAACCAGATCAAGGTTCTGGCGTGGCCTAGCCAGTCTCCAGACCTAAACCCAATAGATAATCTTTGGAGGGATCTCAACCTTGTGTTTCTTAGCCACAGCCCAGAAACCTGACTGATCTAGAGAAGATCTGTATGGAGGAGTGGACCAAAATTCCCCCTGCAATGTGTGCAAACCTGGTGAAAAACTACAGGAAAAATTTGACCTCAGTAATTGCAAACAAAGGCCACTGTTCCAAATAATAACATCGATTTTCTCAGGTGTGCAAATACTTACTTGCAGCTGTTTCATACAAATAAAGTTAAGAATTGCTGCCAACTGTTTTACTTGCACTACTTCCTGCTTTCATCATATTTTTATCTTTACTTGCTTTTTTTCTTCTATTTCATTTTTAATTCATGTAAAACTCTTTGATTTGTCTTTGTACTGAATTGTCTAATAAAAATAAACCTGCTTTGACAGAGATGTAGGTGGCTGCTTTTCATAAGGGCAACAAATGCAACAAATTCACACTCACAGAAATATTAAGAGCAAGACATTGGTAACTGATATTCTGCTTTGAAACTGAAGGATAGAATTAAAAACAAGTGCTAGAGCCTGACTCTCTCCTTTAGAATAGATCTGCAAACTGCTGGTCAAATAAATCGGATGATTTCCCTCAGACAGTAGTGAGATATTATTCATCCACATAAGTTCTACCTGAAGGGTTTGTTTTAGGAAGGCTCAACAGACATCACCTGATCACAACAGGATGTTCCAGCTGCTTTAGCATCTCTCCATGCTTGGAATGTTTTTGATTTGCCTTCATAGTGATATCATCTAATGTTGTGAGGGAGGCTTTGCGAACCTCAGGGTGAAAATCTTAGCTTAATTTCTCCAGCAATAAACTTTTGAGGTGTGTCCTTTTATGTCCTATAACATCCTCCAAGGTTAGCTTGAGGGCTGAAATAATTGATGGAATAATGACAATAATCATCAACATATTGGGAAATCAGATAATCATTAACTGATATGTTTACACTGTATGAAAAATACTGTGCTTATAAATACAACAATTAAAGCAACGATGAAGTCTAAAAAGTAAAAAAAAAAAAAAAAAAAAAAAAAAAAAAAATTTTTTTTTTTTTTACATTTTACACTGAAGATAAAAAGAAAAAAAAATTCTTTGTTTGTAACAAGAATAAAAGATGATTAATAACCCAAGAAACTAGGAGAGTTGTCAGAATTTATGTTTTTGAAGAAAATAAATAAATGCAATTACTACAAAATGTTTAGTGATATAAATCCCACTTCTAAAGATATTAAATGTGTGTATTCTTTAAGAGTATTATTTGTGATTGTGTGCTGTGGTATTCAGTCATAGCCATACAGTTACCTGAGAAAGACTGCAAAGAGGTAACAAATGTTTTCTTTTTTTTAATAGTCACTTTTACGGTTAGTATGATAACCTCGTCTGATATCGTGATACCATTTTAAGTGCACATAACCAAGGCCTCATTTAGGCTGCACTGAAAATGTGCAAATAATGTTTGTTGTTGTTTCAAACCTTGTTTGTTGAGGTTTATTTATTTAATAAAAATGTCTATGTTTAGATCAACCAATTACTACCATAAATGATAGCATAATAATCAAACTTTATAAACGGTTTTAAAGCTTTTAATAATTTATCTGGCTATGTCCAGGAAAGTTACTGATAAGAATCAGTTAACATTTGAGTTCATTGAAAGCATGTTTTAAATATTTTGATGACAGGCTAAAGGAATTACGCTATTTCATCACATCTACAGGGACAGACCAAGCTTTGGAAGCATTTAACATAAAAAGTTCAAAGTTTTAGATTTCTTTACAGGTGCTGGCAATAAGTATAACTGTTTTTGAACCAGCTTGTTAATAAGCGACACAGGGAACTACAGAGATAAAGCTATAAAATGGGATTGTCCGTCCCAGATTTATGCCCCAAAATGGGTCATTAAGAAGATGAGAGACAAATCACACCCAGAAGATCCCTGTATACCCTCATGGTTAATGTTACTTTACATCTCTGTTGTGACTATTCCAGCTAAATGTCATGTCCTCACCTAGCTCACATATGATGGCAACGGCAGCGCGAACCATGCGATCCCTCTCCTGCAGCCCGTCTGTACCCACAGCAATTAGAGAATTAGCAACAGAGGTGGGGAACAGCATGGCATTGACGGTGATTATCTGTAGAGGAAGAGAGAGTAGAAAAAGCTTTAAACAGCTAAAAAAAAAAAAAGATATAGAGAAAACATGTTTTAACAGACAAGAAAAAATACCTTTCATTTATTAACGGAGGAACATAATAAATAAAAATTGTATCATGTATTAAACATTATACATTATTGGGGTTTTAAATGTTGCTGAAGGTTTTGTACGTCTTTGAGAGTCATATCTTGTGTTAATTAGATTGAATTAGCTTTAAACAAATATTAAAATAAAAAAAAACAGCCATATGCCAAAGCAAGAGATTAAGGAATCAAGAAAAAAAGATAAACATTCTTTAAATATTACAGAGGAATATTAATTACAAGAAAGCTTCCAGCCGTGACCTCACCCTCACAAAAGTAAAGATGCATGACAACCGACACCAATTTTCAGTTTCTTCTTTGGTTTTAACAGTCAATTTGAACACAAAGGATGCTGAATGTACATCTGTCCCTTTGATTTTGCAAGATTATCCCCATATATGTTCATGAATTAAGGCACACGTGCCTCCATGCACCTTTTTTCGGCTTAATAACCTAATGAGCTTTCTGTGTACAAGCATCAAAAATAAAGCAGCAGGCGCTTCTTTGCTGCCCAAACCACGTGTGGTGTGAATAAGCATAAGCGCCAACCTTGTGAAAATAGACTGATGTTGAAGTCCAAAAAACAAAAATACCTTTAAAAATATGATACTATAGATGTTGTATAAAAAAATTTATAATTTTTTAATTGGATGGATGGCCCTATGATTCAACAGTTGCCAGATATTAACATATCGAAAAATAAAACAGCAGAATGCTAAAACAAGTTTAAAAACTACTACCTAGTCGTTGTGAAAATTAAATCCCTGTATTGAAAATAGGGCTGCACCAACGAATCGATAAAATCGATAAAAATCGACTTTTAAAAGCGTTGGCAACGAATTTAATCATCGATTAGTTGTGTCGCGCGATTAATGAGTCATCCGCCGCCGCAACTAATCGATGATTAAATTCGTTGCCAACGCTTTTAAAAGTCGATTTTTATCG